TTCCTTCCTTCCTTCCTTCCTTCCTTCCTTCCTTCCTTCCTTCCTTCCTTTCCTTCCTTCTTTCCTTCCTTTCTTCCTTCCTTCCTTCCTTCCTTCCTTCCTTCCTTCCTTCCTTTCTTTCTTTCTTTCTTTCTTCTCAAGCCGAGTTTACCCTGGCTTTCTGTGTCCTCCCATTTTACCCCAACATAGGATTTGTCTGCAGCAGCGCTGTACACATGTTTATCATCTGCCTCTTTAGTCAGTTGAGGTCAGGGACCATAATGATTCATTTCATGTCCCCAAAATGAAGCCTACATGTCAGTCAACATTCATGAAACAAACCAGGCTGTTTTACCTTCTCTTGCCCGGCCCAGATGGCCAGGCTCACAGTGTAGATGCTGCTTAATGTTTAGAAGTTCATAGATAAAATATTGAAGAGCCAGGCACTCAAGCAGCTTAAACAAGAGGACCAGCCTGAGGTACACAAATAAATGTTACCTCAAAAACAAGAAGAAATCAAAAAGCAGATGAAGCTGGACACAGTGGCTCACAGCTGGAATCCCAGCACATGGGAGACAGAGGCAGGAGTAGCACTGCGAGCTGAAGACCATCCTGACACATAATGAGAGCCTGTCTCGGGAGAAACAAAATGGTCAGAGAGTCCGGGCCAGTCTGCCCTTCATAGTGAGACACACACACACACCTACCTACCTACCTACCTAAAGGGAGATGTGGGTAGGGAAAGTAGACAAAAATCATGAGCTTGTACAGACTAATTTGTTGCTAATGGAGGTTTGTGGGGTTTTTGTTGTTGTTTGTTTGCTTGTTGGTTTTTTTGTTTTATCTTGTTTTGTTTTTGGTCCCTCAGTCCTAGTCACTCGAGAGGACGACTTCAACAACCGGCTAAACAACCGTGCTAGCTTCAAGGGCTGCACAGCTCTGCACTATGCCGTCCTGGCCGACGACTACCGCGTTGTGAAGGAGCTACTGGATGGAGGTGAGAGCTGTGGGTTGTGGCTGGCAGGGGAAAGTAATCCTGGTACTCTCCTAAGCTAAGGGATGGGCAGACTTACCAAGAATAACAGTGACAATGTGTGATTTGCCCTTTGGTGGTTGTATGTTCTTGGGCAGGTATGTGTGTATTGGGGGCATGTAGGGGGTTGTCCTCCACCCTGTCTGTGATAAGCTGTGAGGGTTTTTTTAAAGACTTTTTTTTTTAATTATGTGGGGGAGTAGGTGTGTGCACCTGAATCCAAGTGTCCTCAGAGCTGAGTGGCGTTGGATCTTCTGGAGCTGGAGTTACAAAAGCAGCATGGGTACTAGGAACTGAACCTGTGTCCTTATTGCTGAGCTGTTTCTTCAGCCCCACTGTGAGAATTTCTTCATTGAAATTTCTTCAAGAAATTCATTTTGGGAATTTCTTCCCAAAAGTGTCAGCTTGTTCTCTTGTGACTTCCAGAGCAGGACCAGGGGAACAAAACCCTCCTAACCTGTGTCAGAGTTGCTGTCCTGGATCTTGGCCCCACTGCAATCTCACGTAGGTCTGTTACTCTGAGCCATGGTGTCCTGTTCACACTCATACTTGTAGTCAGGGGCTGGAACAGGGATCTTGTTTGCCGGCAGCCTGGACTTCATAATGAATTCCAGGCTAATCTGAGGTTTATAACTAAGCCTGTCTCCAAAACTAGCAACAATACCAAAGCAGAAGGCTTCTCATTTGCCTTTCTCCTTAGAGTACAGACTATATTGACCTATTAAGTATCCTTAGTACCAGCATGGTTCATGCCATGTAGTGAGTGCTCTATAACCATCTGCTGAACAGTGAATGGCCTCCCTTTTAAGGGTGTCAGTTTCATTACAGGAATAGAATGCTCCATACTCTGGCTGGGCTGGTTTTATCCAAGTCTGGTACAGAGTTCATTGCCAGACACCTTCATATGGCCATTTCCTTCTTAGTTCCCCTTATCCCCATCTAGCTTCTGAAAGATTAGAGCCAGCATGTGGAGGACCCGGATCCATTCTTGGGGCTAGAACCTCAGGTCCTCCGTCCTTCTCCATGGGGACCAAAAGAACTAGACCATCCTTTGAGTCCCTCTGGGTCATTCAAATGATTCTTTCTCCCTCACAGAAGAAATCTCCAAGATTAGTAGGCTGAGGGATCCCACTCCTTCCTCAGGTAGTCAGTTCCATTTTGCTTCGCAGTGACCATGGGAACACCTTTTTAATGAACTGTGGTTGCTTTGTATTTTCTACCACTTTTTCTAGTCAGCCCTCACAGGAAGTTCATTCTGTCCCTGAGCCTGTGCCTTCCGGGTCCAGGATCCCAATGATCTTCCAGCCCATGTCATGCCCTTGATTTGGGACACTTCCCAGGAACCCAGCCTTGCCACCTCCTGTCGGCCATAGGCACACTGGTTTCATAACCAGGCCTTGCCTGTGCCCTCACCCTTCAAGGGGCCAGCT